ACATCCCTCTGCCAGTCTCAAGGTGCAACCATTGGTTGGACACATGGTCCCTCCAAATGTACCCCATGATCAGGGGGCAAGGACCTATTACAAAAGGCATCAAGATGAGATTCCAAGGCACAGGATAATGTCTAGGTTTCACTACCATAGAGTAAAACTAGCAGTATCAGGGATTTGAAAACACTTAGCTTGGTCCTTTTGCACAGGTACCAGCATCTCCGATTACTCTTGTTGAAAGAATTAATAACCCCTGCTGCCAGGCCAATCTGTCAACTGCTTTCCTGGTCTGACAGCCCAGAGTTATGAACTATTTGGGTCAAACTGTAAGCCAAGGTAGTAATCTGAATATGTTTGCTGACAGTATAAAAATTCAAAAAAGGATAATAGACAGTGTCTCATGCCAATGCCTCCAAAGTGACATAGACTTTGGTACACTTTCATACATACTCAAACATGTTTGCCTTTTACCCACAAATTATTGGAACCTGTTGAAATATCTTTTCATTTTGTATGACTCTATCTTGATACAGTGATACACTCTGGCTGAAGGCAGTCTCTAGATACGAGGAAGTCCCACATCACAAGGAAATACACATATCTAGCTTGGAAAAAGAATGGATGATATTCCTCTTGGTATAATTATCCAAATATTTTGTATGTGAGAGATACATATATTTTCAGTGTAATGTTTGTGATTTAATTCACATTTTATATCAAGGGAATGTCATGATCCATTTCATTCAAACTGTAGGATGAGAATGTAAACAGAGTTGCTGCTTCTGTTGTCTAGTAAAAATAGATATACTAGCTTTAATTGCAAGCAACTTTACATTCCATGTCCACAGTGAGTTTAGGTTATTCATTGTTTACACACTGATGCCACTACAAGAATTTAGTCCCTTCAAATCAGTTACTAGTCCTACCAGTCTAACCTATTTTCTTTTTTCCTTGATTTTCAGAAAGATTCTTTATATTCTTTCGTTGTTACTAGCATTTTCGTGACATGATAATCATAATAGTAATAACAATAACAGTATCAAAAGTAATAGCATAGATATTTTCTGAAAATTAAGGGAATGAGGAAATCAGGTGAGGTCATGTAGGGCCTATTAATAGACTCCTTTATCACTGAGCATTTGTAGAAACATCTATGTATAAACAAAATTCTCAGTAGTACAATGGCTGTTGGTTGATTTGCTTTTTTATTTCTTTCATTGGAATTAGACCAAGGATTTTTCAGAAATTGTATAATTTTTTCAGTGGTGATGAGGTGGGCTCCTGTACAATTTTTGTTTTTGCAAATTGAAATCACTTCAACACTGGAGGTATCAATCCATGTGCCTACTAGAATAGAATCAAAAATTTACCCTTACCTTATTCTCAGGTGAAAGCATTTGTAGAAGTGACGGTGGGTCGCAATGTACGGGAAGGTCTTCACCATTTGGCACGTGTGGCTGGCCTTGGAGCCATGAAACCCAACACTATCATCCTTGGCTTTAGAGATAATGCTCCCTCGCATGATTTTTTCACCAGGTGAGTCATGAGTCTGATATGAGTTTATAATGTAATATCCTTGTAATAGTCGTTATTTTTTGCATTTTATTATCATCATATTTATTTTTCATTATTTGTTTTTATGATAAGTTTATGCTAAGGAAAGATGGTTAAGTTAAAATCTACATTTGATGCAACAATAAGTAATTGTTCAAATGTTCTTCAACTTTATATATGTGATTTCAGAAACAAAAGTATTGCTCCTCTCGCCTTTGTCTCTAATCACAAATGCAATGTATTTAAAGGAAATTATACACCTTTTTATTATCTTATTTATTCATTTATATCTTTTACGTCTTTAAGAATAATTTTTATGGTTGTACTCATTTGTTAATATTTAACACATATTACCAAGTGATTTGTTTACAATGAAATCTTATGAAGTGAACAAATTAAAGTTTTGTTAAAGAAAGATTTCAAAGCTGCTAAGGAAATTGGCAGAGGGTGTTGTGCATATATCCAGTGACATCAAAATACTGCTTTGTGCATTTTTTAATGCTATCTTTTAGAATTATCTCATTCTGTGTATGGTGTCCCTATAATACCCAATATGGAATGAAGATCTTAAATGTTCATTTTCTTCTGCCCTCTACCTGATAGATTCAGGGTTCCAGGGGCCAAAGGTTACGGCTCAATTGATGAAGAGGTTGGAGATGTCTCAGTGTATGGGTAAATTTTTTCCCCTCAACTCATGTTTGTGTCAGACTGAACTGTACAAAATTTATTTTGTGGTTCCGTAGCTTTGATTTAAGATTATTATTGTCCTTAGTCTTCAGTATATGTTTTCACTAGATGAGCAGAAAACATGAACTACCATGTGTATTTGTGTTCATACGTGTATGTGTTTCATGTGTACATTGAGTGTAGGCTTGCATGTGTGTGTGTGTGTGTGTGTGCTTGCAAGTGTCCTATCTCTGCGTGCAGAGTGGTTGAATGTGAATGTGTATGTGTGTGTGTTTGTTTGTATGCATGTGTGTGCATGTGTGTGTGCATGCGTGCGTGTATGAGTGTGTGCGTGTGTGTGCGTGTGTGTGCGTGTGTGTGTGTGTGTGTGTGTGTGTGTGTGTGTGTGTGTGTGTGTGTGTGTGTGTGTGTGTGTGTGTGTGTGTGTGGTGTGTGTGTGTGTGTGTGTGTGTGTGTGTGTGTGTGTGTGTGTGTGTGTGTGTGTGTGTGTGTGTGTGTGTGTGTGTGTGTGTGTGTGTGTTTGTTTGTTTGCGTGCATGTGTGTGTGTATGCATGCATATTTCAACATGAACAATTATCCAAGATGATGAATATTTGAATCATCTGTATATGACTTGATAATAAGGAGGATGGAGGTAACTTTATTTTTATGAAGATGATGCTGTTGTAGCAGATTGTTTCATTTTTATTGATACAGGTAAATTATAGAAACAATTACATCCATGAATAGCAATAATAATTATTACTATCATTATTGCTATCATTATCATCGTAATCATTATTGTTGTTATTACTATTGTTGTCATCACATCCATCATCATCATCATTGGTATTTCATCATCAACATCATTATTATTGTTATTATTTATATTTTGTTATTATCATTTTTTTATTATATTATGATTGTTATTATAATCATCATTGTTATCAGTATAATTTTTATTATTATTACTATTATATATATTATTATTATTATTATTATTATTATTATTATTATTATATTATTATTATATTATATTGTTTGTTATTGTTACAATTATCATTATCAATGTCATCATCATTATTATTATTATTATTATTATTATTATTATTATTATTATTATTATTATTATTATTAATAATATTGATATTATTTTCAGTTGTAGTTATATTATTGTTATTATTATTGTCGTCGTCGTCCTCCTCCTCCTCCTCCTCCTCATCATCATCATCATCATCATCATCATCATCATCATCATCAATCATCATTATTATTAATCCGTAAAAGTATTAGTATTAGCATTGTTATTATTGTTACCTCTGCCAAGGAGGTTATGTTTTTGGTAGCAATGGTTAGCTTGTTGGTTAGTTGGTTAACAGGATAATTCAAGAAGTTATGAACAAATTTTTATGAAAATTTTACCAGAGGCGTGTCTTATCCCAACTCAGATCCGGATCATGATCCGGATTCAAGATTTTTTTAAGGATTCAATAGCATTGTGATATAGGAAAATATGGACATCACTAGTGTACATGAGAAAGAGGTGATTTTAAAGTAATTCTTCAAGTGTGAATATTTTTATTGCATCTGTGACCCAATGCTTGAGTGCTTATATTATTACTATTTTTGCTATCATCATTATCATCGTCTTTATCATTATCATTATCATCATCATAATTATAATTGTCATTGTCATTGTAATTTTTATTTTTGTTATTATGATTGTTATAATTATATCAATAATGAATACTATTGTTATTAATATTATTTTTACTATTATCATTATTACTGTGGTCATTATTTCTATTATGATGATGATGATGATGATGATGATGATAATTATTTTTATTATTATTATTATTATTATTATTATTATTATTATTATTATTATTATTATTATTATTGTTATTATTATTATTATTATTTTATTATTATTATTATTATTTTATGTATTATTTTATTGTTGTTACTACTTCCATTAGAATTGTTATTATAATAACAATGATGGTAATAATAATAATAATTATAAGGAAAATAATGATTGTAATAATGATATTAATGATGATAGTAATAGTATAATGATAACAGTGATAATGATGATGATGATGGTAATGGTAATGGTAATGATAAAAATGATCATGGTATTGATAATAGGAATGATTTTAATAATAATTATGATATTTGTATGATGATAATTATGATACTGATTATTATATTATTTTTATTATCATTTTGATAATACTGATTGTTTTTCTTATGTCAATAATAATAATGATGATGATATTGATAGTAATTATAATGTACAATTGATAATAATTATTAAGGTAAATATATTTCTTATAATAATGATGATAATGATAATTATTATGATGGTTTTGATGTAATTTTATATTTTTTGTTTTATATTTTATATGATAATCTTAATGATTAGTGTAGTAATGATGATGGTAATGATGATGATGATGATGATGATGATGATGATGATGATGAAGATAGTAGTAATGATACGATTGTAACTACTAGAAAGTGATGGTAATGGTAATGTCATGGTAATGGCAATGTAGATTATTGTTATTGTTATAATTATTAGTGATGTTATTTTAATTCTTGTCATTATTATTGTTATTATACAATTTATTATTATTATTTGGGGGCATTATTGTCATTTTTATAATTATTATTATTATTATTATTATTTTTTTTTTTTATTATTATTATTTTTTTATTATTATTTTTTTTTTTAGTATTAGTATTAGTATTATTACTATTGTTATTATTATTA